GCTAAGTGGTTGTAATTTACGGAACGACTATTTCGAAATGATACTATAAGATATTTGCGAGTACCTCCAATAGTTCTCGCTCATGGTTGTTAATATTTTGTGATATTTGTCATCTCCCAAGGGAGGGCCTCTGCTATTTTAATAAAAATGCCAGGACTTACTGCACTATGGGAACGCCACGATTTTGGGATCGTATCGGTGAGGTATGGTAAAAATGAAAAAGCACCCCTATACGCACCCCAAAACGCTTGGGTGGGGGAGACCTATAGGCTGGGCATAGAAAGGGTCACCCATCCTAAGGGCCGTCCGTGTCGGTGCGTGCTTAACTTGCATGATCTCCATGAATTCGTAGGTAAGCTGCGTCAAAAGGCGTCTAATGATTTATTTTACACCTTCGGAATTGGTATATTAAGAACACTGCCGGGACTTGACATCAGATGAGACTAACTCATATTGATTGCTGACCGAAGAGAGAATTGGAGAATTGATTTAGGGATAGAGATAGTAGGGAGATTTGAACGCGAAGACTCGCAGTAACGTAGGAACTACTCCGAGACATCGGGAGATGTCACAATGTTTTGAATTAAAGAAATAACAAAAATGGAATATAAAAAAATCGAAAAATATACATTGTAGTTAACTCCTCGTGAAAACGTAATTATTGAATTATAGCTACGGTAAAAAGAAAAACAAATAAGCTTCCTGTAAGCAACGAAAGCTCGTTACTTGTGAATACATACAAAGGAAAGAAGTTTTGTTTAAAATATTCTATATATTGTGTATTTGCTAATGAAAAACGGAAAAAAATATACACCATGCGATTTGTTACACAACAGTGTTGACGTCGTTTGTTTCTTAGCCACATGACTCATTAATCGACATTAATTATGTTTGCTTCCAATTCTTTATTTAAAAATATTTTTTCTTTAGATGTGCCATAATCTTACGTATATCGGCATACAAAATTGCAATGCAGACATACGTTAATATAGAGTATATATATATAAGCAAAGAGACTCTTATGCTATTATAATACAGATTCTTATTAAAATATACCGAGGAATTTTCCTGGTGGACAAGCTGGCAATTGGCAAGCCTTCTCTTCCATCTCAGTTTCTGCAGTGCTACAATCACGTAAACAATATCGCCATCTTATTTGACGACCTTTGCCGCATGTAACGCTACAGCTACTCCAGTCTGTCCATTTGCCCCATTTATGACCTGACTTTATTCTGACCTCATTTTCTTCGCGAATTGTTCTTGAAGTAGTTGACGATGTCTTACCAACGCGTCTAGTCACCGATCTCTTTTTCTCTAACGAATGTTTCCTTGGAATCTTAACGAGTTTATGGTCGTTAACTGTTTCAACCGGACTCACTTTTCTTTCGACAATCTTGACCACCGATCCATCACGGTTTGTCGGCACACATTTCTGAACAATTTCAGGCGTTTCCTTGAAAGCGTCGCACCTAGTGCTAACATTTGAACATAAATCGTCGATCGCACGTGTTTTTATTTTTTTCTCTTGCTTCTCCTTTCCTGATGTTTCGTCGATGTTCATATAATTTTGAAGCTCATTTACCTGAAGAGAAATGTTAGTAAAGAATATAGAGAGAACATAAGAACATTACTATTAAAGAATTTAGAGAAATTACGTACCTTTGTCACTAATTGCTCCGCGAGTTCTTTAACTTCTTCGATTGATCGTACAGCCCGATTAGGATCCATTTCATTGATCATCGCTAGTCGAGTTTCATCTTCATCGTTGCAGTGATCGATTTCAGTTCCAGGCTCCCGTATATTCTCATAATACTTCAACTCCTCTTCCTTATTTAAAAAACCATGACCCGATTCGGTATGCCTATTTCGTTTTGTTCGTAATTTTGTACTCTGTGGCGATTTTTCGGTTTCTTCGAACGTTTTCTGCTTTTTATTTTCTGTCGCGAGAGCATTTAAATTTAAATCATCGGCGCCACCTGCGGCTATCGAGTCTCTTTCTACTAATGAAGATCTCGAGATGTCGTCAGTGTTTTTCTTATTTCTTTTCAATTTCGAAAAATCGTTTTCAGAATCAGTTCTATCGATCGATTTTCCCGATTTTACAGATCTACGACGAAAATTGTTGTCATTATATTTCTTAGCCACTAGATTAGCAATTTCTACTTTTAAATTACCCTCGCCTGTCGCTTTACTCGCTTTGCTTTTCGCTTTGCGAGGCACTTTCGATCGATCCGATCGCAGAGAAATTTTCGAAACGTCGTGTTTCTTCCCTATATGTTTCTCTTTCTGTTTTAATTTATTCGTTTCGTCGTGACTGTGTTTCCTCGCTTTTCTTCTAATTCGTAGCAGATCTGCTTTTACATTAGCGACATTTGAACTCGGTGGATTTAAATGCTTCTCAACAATGCTGCTTTCTGATTCTGATATGGTCGATCGTTCCTTTTCGTTGGATTCTTCTTTTTTATCAATTGCACCTTGTACATCAGATGAGTTTTCCTCTCCTAAATTTCTTTTCTTATGTATCTTTGAGTAATCGTCTCGTTTCTTCCTAACGAGTTCTACTGCTAGCAAATTCTCGACTTCCGGATCTTCGTATGATTTCTTGCTTGCTTGAATAACGTCATTTAACGGTTCTTGTAACGATACAGTTTCTTTGCTTCTTGTTTGACCTGTAAATTTTATGTTTCTTTTTCCTGTATTTATTCTGCGAATATCAGACCGTGGGCTAATAAAATCTCTAATGTCAGATTTATCTTCACTAAGGTGTAAAGGAACCACAATCGGTCCATTTTCATCTAAAGATTCATCGAATTGTTTGTCATTTACAGAGTATGCCTGTGATTTGATTTCTCGTTTCGTGTCAAACGAAACATCATCGTCATAAAGGTTTCCTCCTATCGAATCGTACGAATCTCGAGGGAAAGAGTTGGCTAAATCTTTTAAATAATCTCGTTGATATCTGAACGCAGAAACAGGATTCGATTCTGATTTGCTTCTTTTCACTCGTACATGTGTTTCTAAAGAGTCTGGATCGTCAATATCATTCATGGAAACTAGTTCGTCGTAATCTAATAGCGTCTTTCCTTTACCTGTATTTTCTTTATTTTCGAGCAAACTTCCCGTGAAATATTTCTGGTTTTCAGAAATTGTACATAATGCTCTTCGCCTCCATCTGTAGTCTGCAACTTGATAGCTTTGAAATTCGCCATTTCCTTCTATAGATTTTGACACTGGAGTGTCATTTAGAAAACGATTAATCGTGTTTTTCAAAGAAGTTGTAATTAATAACCTTTCGGAATGGATTGGTATATTTATCAATTTGTCTGTTAACAATTTTGGCAATTTCCTTACGCTGCCAATTGCATCTTTTGTACTACTTTCAAATCGATTTGTAAGAGATAATGAATCATACGTGCATGTGCCATTTAATAAAACACTTATGAAATCTTGCAAAACATACGAGAAACTTATAAGGAGATAATTCGAGTTTCTTGATGATTCGCAGTCTTGAAGATAATTGTAATTATGGCAATGACACGTAAATAAATCGATATTAACGATATTGTAATTCTCGGTTTTAATAACAGGAACAATTAACAAAAGGATCGTAAGAATCCAAGTGACTGTGTAAGTTGAAAATTTCAGCATTACACACGCTATTTCAAACTTTTCATGTTACTCGTTGCTCATTGAAAGATCATTTGGTTATTGTTGATAAGGATTTGGTAAAATAGTTGTTGCTCCAGGGTTTTGGTTACTTCGAATTTGATTATTTTTGCGATTTTGCTAACATCGATTGAATTTCGATAGGTTGAGAAAAATACAATAAAATATCGATATCGCTTATACCGTTTTAACATTGGAAACGGTGCTTTAGATATTTATCTGTCATATAATACGTATTTATAGTCTAAGTCTGTTAATTATTATTTTTTCTAAGATAATATTTGATTTATGTGTATTTTATATGCATAAAATAATATAATGGAGTTTTTAACATTAACATATATATTTTCATTTATCTTAATGGTAAGAAACTAATGTTACTTAACCTATTAAATTCAAATCGATATGTCCAACTGAAAAATGTTTTAAACAAATTGATATACATTAAAATTGCCATTTAATTAAATTGGAATATAACGTGCAATATATTTTCATTATAAATGTGTTTTTTTAGATAAATGTTGTATCATCGGAATTTTCAGCTGATGATTGTAAAACTTTAGGTTTTAATAAAGCTAATTTACTTTGTTCTACTTGTGAGGAATTTAATAAACATGGTTTAACAGAAATATTGTAAGTAAATGAATACATTTGCCCTGCAATAACTTAACATCTTATATTAACAATTATAAAAGAGTATTGTTTGGTAATCACAGGAGTAATTGTAAAGAATGTTGTTTGAAAGATGATGATTATGATGCATCTGGATTGAAAAAATATCCACGTGCTATTCTTGAAGTATGCACATGCAAATTTGGTGCATATCCACAAATCCAAGGTAAATAGAAATTTATTGTTTAAAAATAAAACTGTACATGTTATAACATATGTTTATCATATTTTTCACAGCTTTTATAAAAAGTGATCGACCTAGTAAATACAAGAATTTACAAATAAAATATGTCAGAGGCTTAGATCCAATAATTAAATTATTGGATGCAGACAATAAAGTTGAAGATATTCTGGATATACATAAATGGGATACTGATTCTGTTGATGAGTTTTTAGCAACGCATCTTTCTATGGATTAATATTAATGCCTTATATTTTAAATTTCATTAAGTGTAAATAACCATGTTTCTATCTAATTTGTGTTCAAAAAGATATCTTTTCTTACTTGTATTATTTTTCTTCTTGTCTTAAGTATATTAACTCTCATCAGTTTCACTCTTACAACTTAATTTGTTTCTTGGTGTTAAATTGACATAGTGATAAAAAATTAATACCTACCAAATATTAAATTATTAATAGTAAATATAATAAATTTCTATTTCTACTCTTAGGCATAGATTTCTTTTTTTTTTTATCATAATCTTACACATTTCATAAAAAAAATACACAAAATACACAAGGGACAGGTAAGAGTTAAGAAAAATATTTTATAACTTATAAGATTATATAATATAATATTCATATTAAAAAGGTGCAAAACAAATTATATTGTCATTTTTAGACTATTTATTGTTTCATATTTTCTACACACTAATACAAAAAGTCCAATATTGGAATGAAAGTTGTTTAAATGATTTAAGAATAGTGTCAGTATTTATTAAATTGCTTTAAATAGATGATAAAAGTGATTAATATAAAGAAATGTTACTAAGATATTGTAAGGTTGTTGGAGACAACCTTTTGCTGGACGCAAATTTTATTACAAATTAAATTACTTTATACTGGCTACAAAGGCAAGGTGAGTGTTATTGTGTTGAAGTTACAAATTTCGGTAGTCTATAAGGCAATTGTCAACGTACATTTTTATATTAAATTTTTTTGTTATAATGCCTTATATGTCAAAAAGTTTAGTCTTATCATTCTACTGCATTATTATAAAGCAAATACAATTATTGTAATTATTTCCTATTATAAACTTTGATTATAGGTATTTTATTACAATTAGACATAAACGGGATGAAATTATCAATATTTTAAATTTATTGCAAGATATATTGGGATTCTTCATTAGCGTAATTCGAGGAATGAATCTTATAATAGTTTCGTATTATGGTTATTATTGAAAAACCATAAACATGTGTTATATTTACTTGAATATTAATAGCATTTCTTAATACAGAATAGTTACAAGTTACAAAATAATCAGTGTTAATACGCAAAAGAATCTTTTTATTTATTTTTTTTTTTATTTTAGAAATGTACATTATAGATCATTATACATTGATTATATTATTTTAATAGTATTAGAATATTTAAAAAAAATAATATAATCAATGTAAAAAAGTGAATCTATGATGTAGATTTCCGAAATAAAGGGAAAAAATTAGAAAGCTTTAAATAAGCTTGGGTAACGTAATCATATATTTTCTTACATTTACTTCTGTAAATGATACATGCATAATATCATTCATACATATAAAAAAAATAGTCATAAACATTAAATTGCGTCAATTATTTCATTTCGTTAAAAGACGTAACAAGTTAAATTACATAAACATTAATAAATTGAATACAAAGATGAAACCTAATAAATGATGTACTAAGAGATGCAATTATAAAATATACCCAAGCTTACTTCAATTTTGAATACAAGTTGAGTACAAGTTTATCGTCGACCTCTCCGTGCTCGAGGACTACCACGTCCACGTGTAAAACCTCGACCACGTGATGGTTTTATTTGAGAATTTTGATCTCTATCTAACTTCTGCATAGACTTTTCATGATCAGCTTGTTCTTTTTCATCCCCATCATCAATTAAATTACCTATTTCTGCTTCGTTATCATTATCGAAATCAGCCCACATTTTATCAACCGGCGTCTTCTTTTCCGGAGTATTAACAGCATTTTGTGAAGATTGTTCATTGCTGTTCTCAACTTCGTGAATTTCTTCTTCCTCCGATTCTGCGTAAGCTTCAAGTGGATCATACTTTTCATCTCCATCAGCTTTCTTTTGAGTGTTTGCATTTTCAACATCATTTTCTTGTTTTTCTTGTTTTACTTCTACATTATTTTCATCTTCAGAATGAGCTATTTTACGACGTTTCCAGCTTCCATCGTATTCTTTATCATTTTCTTGAGCGTCTTCAATAATCTATAAAAAATTTCATTTTTTATTTTATTGTAACTATTTACATTGTTCTGTAATTTTTACATATATTAAATTATACCTCAGTTTTCACTGTTGGCTTTTGTTCTGTACTCTCCATATTTGAAATTAAAGTCTTTACTTCTTGTACGAAATTTCGGTAATGAGTGATACTACGTAAATGAGCATTCATATCTTCAGCTAAAAGCATGAATCTTCTACATTTTTCACAATAAAATCCTTGAACTTCTTTTACCATAGACTTTCCTGAAACAGCACAAATAAATTAATTAAGAATTCAAAAATAATGAAAAATAAAATTCATGAACGGTGAAATTTACCAAGAGAAACTTGATTCTGTCGACAATATTTGTAAGATGGAATTTTGAACTTCTTTTCGCCCAAATTTTCAACAATATCCGTAATATATTCTTGTTCTCCTGCAGTATCTTCTTCCTTCTCATTTTTGTTATCAGAACCAACATCTTTTTCTTCATCTTCAGCTGTACGTACTTCAGATTCTCCTTTTGCAAGTTTTTCTATAAAAAATAAAAGACAAAAATTAAACAATTTTTTAATACTTCAAGATATCATTTTATTGCAAAAATTAAACAGTTTTTCTAAATACCTTTCTTTTTATTTTTTCGCTGTTCTTCACATTGTACAGCTTTTTTCATGTGTCCAGGAGTTAAACAATGTTCATCATATTCAATACGCGATGGGAATTCTTTTAAACATGGAAAACATCTTGGATGTAAAAACGTTTTTAGTTGTTGATGTTTCTCACTCTTTCTATGTGTAGATAATGTTCCATAGAAATTCAAATCGCACATTGTACAATACTCACGTACATTAAGATCTACAGATACCTAAGCAAGAAATAAAAATAAATGCATAAAGTATTATAAATTATTAAACTCATATGCTTACTTTTTTACCGCGCCGTTTCGAATTAGTTAAACTAAGTTCGCGTTGTTCTTCTGCTACTCTTAATTCATGCCGCATGAGATCAACTTTTAATTTATATGATTCATCTAACTTTTCCATCATCAATTGATGCGCTCGGCCTCGTAAATGATTTTCAAATGACTATAAAAAATAGGATGATAAAAATCAATCTCAATATACAGTATATATAGTATTAAATACATACATATCCATCCCACATATGCTTATTACAAATGTGACAGAACATATGATTCATAGGAACTTCTGCATAACGACTTTCAGCATGTCTAGCTTCTGATTTTTTGCCTGTCATTTTTGAATCCTTCTCTGTTGCAGACGCATTCGTTTCCTTTGCTGTTGTTTCTTCTACTGCAGGTTTGTCTGCCTTTTGTTCTGCATTATCTTGAGACTTTTCTCCTGTTTCGCCAGTCTCTCCAATTTTAGTATCCTCGGTCTCCTTTTTATTATCCTTCCAATCACTTTTTTTGTCTTCAGATTCTTCATTTTCTCCACTAGTATACAAACAAACAAAATTTTTATTATAATTATAAATATTAATTCGATTTACTGTGCATTTTTTAATGTGATATAAATATTATATTTCTTTAATATGTGTTTTAGTGAAAACACATATACACAAACTTCTCAAAATCGATAACTAGAGAGAAACTGGGCATGATATTAAGTTAAAAGAAGATAACTCACACTTCTAACAACTGTATAAAAATTTGAACAACCTATTATTATGAACAAATATTCGGATAATGTGTATTGAAAGAAGAACACATGGGGAACATTTTACATGATTATAAAATACTAATGTTATGAGATTATAGGTAATCTAATTTACATTTGAAATGTGAGTTGAGTTTAATCAACAATGACGAGTGAATGTATAACATGATACATATGTAGACATATGTATATATAAATGTATATATACGTATGTATGCAATACTTATTTAAAAGTCAGACAAGAGAAAGGACACAATGCTAATTCTTTAGCAATCATACCATATGTACGTAACAAACACCGTACATACAGAGATAGGTGACAGAATGAGACTTACTGAAGTTTGAAGAAACTATTCACAATCACCAGGAGCTTACCTTGTTACAGCAGGTGCTTCTGTTTTTTCATTATCAGAGGTCTTAACGTCCTGCTGTTCCTTTTTGGCAGTCTGATTTTGTTTAGAGGCAGGAATTGGTTTAGAAGATTTATCGTTGTGATGTTGAGTTTGGTTTCCATTCATACGCTGATTGCCAGACTGGGGTGCACGAGATTGTTGTGCAGATGGACCACGTCGCCCAGCAGGGCCATCACGGGCGCGATTGCCCATCTAGTCATGTAGGTCAAATGACCAAACCGTCATGAGAAGTATCTGATATAATTGCGATTCTTCTCGAATCGAATTTGGTTTTAGAAACCACTGGGATATTTGAGGGAGAAAAATATTCTACTCAATTCGGAAGCAGGACGTATTCAGTGTTTCAATAAACACCAAAGGTCAGTATTTCCACAGCTTAGTGGATGGGAAAAGGAAAGTAATATCAAATCGTTGAAGATGCATACACTCTTCGCATCATCTAACTTTGTATAGGTAATGATCTTATTGATCATAAGATATGATATTTATAACACATACTTTTATCCTTTGAATATAGCTCATTGATAAAGCTCAATGAAAAATAATCAACAAGAAGAAGAAGTTAAATCAGTGAACAATGTAGTTTGTAATCAATTTTGAATACTACTCTTCAGCTACTATTCTTAAGCTACAATGACGAATAGAAGACTTGGATGGATTATAAATGAACCAAGTTAGAGGAGAAATATATCTGCATGTCTATACTGAAACTTGTTATACAAATCACAATTAACTTCCACTGCTAAAAATGAGAATACATATATTTTGAAATCAATACACATCTCGTTATCGTGTTTTGTAACGAAGTAACACTGTGATGATTATTTTCTCCTATGAAAATCATATTTAGCACAACTAGTTCAGCAGTAAGAATTATTTATACTTAGTAACTGCACAGGGTAGCCATGTAGTATGTCATCCACTAACTGAAAGCCTCATTAATGAATCGATCAATGAATATAAAAAGGAGAATTTCAAACTTTCAAACTAAGGATTGGTGTTGTTGATGTATAAAAAAAAAGAAGTGTAGACTAAAAATTGCCCTTACAATTTTCATTCAAAACGATCTGCAGATTAATTAAAAATTATAT